GAGCTAACAGCCTAAGTGTCATAGCATTCTCATCCAAAGATCCCACACCGGATCACATATCCGTTGCCTAGCGCCTCCCGACGACTTAAAAGTTCTAAGATCAAACCCACGAAGGTGTATGTGGAAACCATTCTTGAGGCCAATCCTTAGCATAAAAGGCTCTTAACGCAGGCTACTATTGGCCTACCATGCACCAAGATGCTAAAGAGTTAGTCTAAAAGTGCCTTAAGAATATGGCATCTAGCAGCACATGTCCACGCCGAGATATCCTCAAGGCAATGGGCAAGCCGAAGTATCCAACAAGACGATCCTCGACTGCCTGAAGAAATCCCTCACCAACAAGAAGGGAAAATGGCTAAACGAACTCTTCGGATGTCTATGGGCATATCGCACCACCAAAAGACGAACAATCGAACGGTAAGGAGATGGCCACAAGTTTAGATCTAGCAGAGGAGAAGCATGAGCAGACCATCACTTGAATAGTAGCTTACCAGCAGCAACTCCTCCCCAGCTACAACAAAACCCAAAGACTCAAAAAGCTCGACGGGCACCACCTCACAAGTCGATGACTATCCAGTTGTTATGCAGTTCATACCTTACAGCTAAGTTCTCATTCGTTTCACTCGTTTTTTTTAATGAGAAATTCAGAAGTAATCACAACTTGGCTTGGCTACATGCTTACAACAACTGATCACTCCTGCACTTCAAAAGAAGACTGCGCCCTACTTAGGGACTCATCGCAAGAATGCGCCCCCCGAGGGACCAACCGTGCTATCCAGTGCGAGAGGGTAAACTAATTGCTCTTCAGTGCGAGAGGGTAAACCAATTCCTTGACACCCATATGGGTCAGCTTTCCAAGATGGGAGGATAAACTTTACACTTCGAATATCCAGACGTGGATGAGCCTGGCTGCCCTAGTATAACTAGATGCACGATGGCTTACGTGGAGATTCCTAGAAGTAACCATAATGGTCTTTTTCAAGGCTTAGCTAACTGAAGGATTTTGGGTCTCTTGGCCTAATCTGTGGGGAACCGGACCCCAGAGATGAAGGGGGCACATTATGCAGTACGCCCTATAGACGGCTGCCTTGGAACCCTAAAGCTGCTACCGAGTGCACTAAGGTAGCCTACGAATTCTGGAAGACTGCCTACGGTTTACCCTTCGAGCAGTAAAACTGCGCTAGACTTATACAACCGCACATTCTTGTGAAAGGTTAAACAAGCTAGCGCGTATATACGAAGTTTTATCCATTGCCGACATGCTACGTAGTCGATAAGCTTCACCACTACCGAGTGCACTAAGTGTTGTGATACTTGCTACGCAACCTACGGAATTGGAGAAAGCCAAGGTTAACAGCCTAGTGGTTACGTGGACTTGTCTGCTTCTATAAGTAAGGCATCTGGTTGCCAACCCTATGGCTAACAACCTTGCAAAGTTCTACACCAACACCTACGGCTGCATAGGCTACACGGGCTTGTCTGCTTATAAAAAAGTAGCATGCCTGCCACTGGTCTATCAAGTCTAAAGGTTAGGGCATGAACAAAAGAAGCGAAAATTAAGAAAAGCGAAAGAAAACATGTTTATAAACAACTAGCAAAGGCCGAAGAAGTTCAAGCAAAACAAGAGCTACAAGGAAAAACAAATAAAATCCTAAAGGTTAACTAGAAGACTATAGCAGCTTGGACATCCCACGACTCCTCGGTCGCCACACCTTCAGTAGCCGCGACGTTTTTAACAACGGTATTCATTCGGCACTTCACCCTCCGCTGCTCCAGCCTGGGCACTAACTTCTCCAACTACTTCACCAATGGAAGCCTCAAAAGTAAAATCAAACAAGTCTTCCGGAGAAATAAAGAAGGTCTCGAAACCCTAAGCCCAACTTTTTCACCTTTCAGCTGCTCATCTTCCTCGAGCAGACCAACATGGATGCTCTGCAGCTCATCCACTTCCTTCTTCAGACTTTCGTTGATCTTCAGTACACCTTGAAGTTCTAACACTTGGGGTTCAAGCCTATCGATGATTCTCTTGAAGTGGATCACTTAATTATAAGCAGCAATCAACTTTTCATCCTTTGCATAAGCAGCGAAACAAAGCTCAGAAACTGCAAACTCAAGATCTTGAATCTGAGGTATGTAACATCCAATCTCCTTCTTTGCACTTTCATGCTTAACTTGGATCGCGTCAAGCCTAATCTTCAAGTTAATGATCTTTTGGTGAGCGGTCTCAAGCTGCAAAGAAGTGGGGGCAGACATATGAGACCCCTTCAAAGCAACGAGCTCAAAATCTGCCATAGTATTTGCCGTCTCCTTAACAGCCTTGCTATATCTGCATCATAGCAAGCATAGCAGTTCTTCTATAATTGGGTCGTATGCTTCGCAAACGAGTTTGGGCAAACACCTTTCTAACGCCATTAACAAACTTGGCACAAGCGTCCATGTTTTCAGGAGATCCAGTTTCAAAATCACATAGATCTCAGCAACCTCCCCAGAATGAGGCTTAGTGGATTTCTCACAGTTGCCTACGCAAGCAGTCTCTTCATTCCCAGCAGGCGAGTCAGTCTCAGCAGCATAAGGAATGGGCCTTGGCACCACTTTAGCAGCAGAATCCACCTTATCGCTCTTCATAATAGCAAGCCTCTCCAAAGGTGAACTGGACTCAGCTCCCAACAGACGTCTTGGTACAAAATTCGGCACCAGGGGCATGACAGGACCTTTATGTCGAACAATCCTATCAGCAATCATACTAGCCATTCTTGACATGGCAGGCATCACATGCTCAGATCTAGCAGCCTCATTTTTCGTCCCCCTTGGAAAAAGTCAAGTCAATCACAAGCCTGTAGGCAGTCGGTGAACCCGTGCAAGCGAAAAAAGTCTTTGGTTTTTTCTCAGTCGGCATCTCTTGAGTAGGTAGGGAAGATCCCTTTTCCCACCTTCACTTGTAGAAAGATCCACAACAGTGATTGGACAAGCCAATGCATCCGCCTTGATCCTATTCACCTCCTCTTTTAGGAGCAGCCCACGTTTCTCCTGACGCATAGAGTTAAAAGTTGCCAACGCCATTCGTGATACCTAGCAGGGGAGTTCAACCCAACATTCCAGCAGCTTATGAGGCCCGCAATCTCTTCATTTCTCTCAATCACCGACCTAGCTTGCGTCATGTCCAAAAGCCTAAAAAGACATGAGCCATGTGACTCGTCTAGTACTGCGCCCCAGCGTCACAATCCGCGGCCCCAGCCACATAATCTGCCTTGGTTCTAGCCAAGTCGAGCAGCTTAAAGCAGTGGTCCTTGCCACAATACCTCATCGGCCCATGCCGAGCTGACTCCTCACCCATGCCAGCCGACGTGCCCCACCACCCCGACGGCTGCACCATTCAAGAAGAAGACAAGGAAAATTAATTTTTTCTTACCTTAGTGTGGCACGAAGAAGACGAAGAAAACAACGAAAGACAGTCCTTTGCATGGGCAAGATGTAGAAGATTGCTAGAGGAGGGGGAACAAATATCCTCTAAGCTATCTCTCTCTTGTAGGGTAGAATAAATCGCTCTCCAAAGTTGATTTAATAACCCACTTAAGGTGGACTTAAATAGGCTTTGAGAGAAATTTATTTCCCTTTCCTAGAAGGATCTAATTTCCTATTAAAGAGAGAATCTACATCAAAATAGGAAGCAGTCCTAAGTTTCCTAAAGCAAGAACATCTCTACACCTGTTGCCCTTTTCTACGAGCAGCCCAATAGGTGTGGGGGTGTTTGTGGAGCCAAAAATATTCACTAGGTGCCACGTGGTTTTTTGGACATAAGAGGACAAAAATACCCTTGAGGCATACCAGGATTCCTACGCGCGAGCAATGGGCAATCATCTTTCAACCAAGTCAAAAGTGCCCAAAATAGGTAACAATTTAAAGCCTATTTCATCAAATCCTTTCTATAAGGTAATTCCCAAAACCTAATTTATTTAATATGTTTTATATTCCATTATTTCGCTAATCAATTAACTAAACAATATATTCATTTCAAATTTCCTAAAAATTGACTATTAAGGATAATACCTAATCAATCCCTAATTATCAATTGAAACACCCTTCAAATCAAAAGTCACAGAGGGTTGGCTATCCCATTTCAAAACCTATCCATCACTTTTTTTACCTTTTTCACCATTCTCCTTTTTATTAGCCAATAAATTCATAACCACCAAACATTCTTTTATGTTTAATTAGCCAATTAATTGCCTAATTAAACCAAAACAAAACCTAAAAAGCCTACTAAGTGGCCGGCCACATTCCTCTCTAAAGTGAACCAACCTAGCCCTATAAATAGGCTCCTATTTTCACCAAATATTCATTCCAACACTTTGACAAAAATCCCAAAATTCTCTAAACACTCTTTCTCTCTAAATTCTAGCTTTGGCATCGGAGGTTCTTTGGCCAAAGCCCCCCATTCATCGTGGGCGCGTGAGGCTCTTAGCCTTAACCTAAGGTGTTAATTGTTTTGTAGGTGCAAATTGTCCAAAATTAAGGAGGAAGAAATTTGCATCCACAAAAGTATCAAAGTATTATCAAAATAACCAATAAATTATAATTAAGATTAGAGTAAAATATAAAGTATAATATTGACTCATCAGTAACGCTTTCATGATGCATACTTTGCTCTCTTACCCACTGGTTGAGTTCTAAAATTTACACTGACTATACTATTGAAGAGCCTTTGGCAGATACCTTAAGTTAATCCTTGTTGTTGTTCTTGCTTGTAGATGGCCACTCTTGCCTACTCAATTATCCACGGTGGTGCGGAAATTTGATCCCAACAATATTACTTAAGATATAATATAACAAATAAAAATTTCCGTTCAAATATTATTGAATTTATCTCAATTAAAATTTGGTGCCCCACCCAGCCAGCCCAATACACTCTCATGCCCATAGAACCGGACCAACAGAGCATAAAAAAATTGTTGGCCTGGCCCAATGAAACATTAATTCACAGTTAAATCCAGCTCGACCCCCAAAAATCTAAACCCTCCTTTCTTTCTGATTCTACAACAGGAGAGAAAAAGCAAGCGACAGAGACGGAGATGGCCGGAGAGGAAGAGACCAGCGAGTTCTACCTGAGGTACTACGTCGGCCACAAGGGCAAGTTCGGCCACGAGTTCCTGGAGTTCGAGTTTCGACCAGACGGCAAGCTCCGGTACGCCAACAATTCCAACTACAAGAACGACACCATCATTCGTAAGGAGGTCTACGTCACGCCTGCCGTCGTCAGGGAGTGCCGTCGTATCATCTCAGAGAGCGAGGTCTGTCATCAGTTCTGAACCCTTTTGTTTCTGTCACTTTGTAATCTCTTTATTGGGATTCAGGTTTCTGGTATTTTGTTGATTGGTTTGGTGATTGGGGTTTTAGGGTTCGTCTTTTATTGGGGAGGTTTGTTGGGGTTGTGTAACGTCTCAAATTTCCTGCATTGCAAAAAGAGCTGTGAGATTTTAGTGCAGGGTATGAGTTTTGGGGCTCTGAATTATTTGTATATTTTGGAAGTAGATTATGTAGGTTTGGGTTTGTTTTGAGAATTTTGAGGGGTTTTTGTGCTTTTTATTTATTTAAGGGAGTTTGGTTATGTGGTTTTTTCTTGTTTTTGAAAATTTGATGGGTTTTGGAGGTGGAATTTGGGATAAGTAGGATATAATTGTCTATTGATTTCGTTATTTATGTGTTAGGAACGTGAATGCGTTTCAGCTTATGACTATCACCCTATGTTTGGACGAGGGAATTTAAACTTCCATGGACTTAGGCTGAATTTGTTAGGAATCCCCTACAAAATGACTAGATGCAATACCATTGACAGAACTTTCTAATGACACCTTTGAAGGTTCTATTTTGAAAGTCCTTTGTTTAATGTATTTGTAGTGCTTGAGTGGTTCACTGCTGATATCCTTCTAGTGCATTTATAACAATTAAGTGTAATGTTCCATGGTACTTCGAAAGCCCCTCATCCAAAACGTAGGTTTATAGTCATCTGATTGATGGTTTACGCTTTTCTATCTCATCCTTGAGGAGTCAGGGGATTGAGATATAAAGTTATATATGTGTTAAGTTCGTGTAGGATCTAAGTAAAAAAGTGGTTGTTTATAGATGTGATTTAATGTATGGTTTCAGTACTATCTTGTGGTTAAATTTTTTAGGTTTCCTGCTTGGAGGCTGGGAGAGTAGAAAATTTGAGATTGGGAAAACGGCAAGGAAACTGTGCATGTCCAATGGAGGCAAATATAAGATAAAATAAGTGTATTAAGTTTGAAAATGCAAGCTTTTGGTTTCCTAAAGTCATTGGTGACTGGTAGTGGTATTTAATAGTAACGTTACGGGAGTGATTTTTGGATTCTCAGGTTTTGATAGCAATCTGAATTTTCTTCTAATATTTCAGTTAGAGTTATGTTCACACTATTGGAATTGGGGAATCAAGAGCAAGGAAATTACTTCCAAAACATGAAGTTCTATCTTTCCATTGATTAATAACACTTGTTTCAGATGGCCATCTAATAAGGTTAAAGGAAACATTGGTATTGGGTGGAATTAGCTATGTCTTATTAAAGGATGGAAAATGAATGTATGTTCGTTTATCTTAACTGAACAGTGAAACTACTTGTCAACACTCAATTCTTACGTTGATTAATCATTCAAATTGATTGATCTTGGAAACTGTATTCTTCCAGGAATTTGATTATTGAAATTTTGTTGTCCTGGTTTCCTTAATTGGTTGCATGCTTGCTTTAATGTAGATCATGAAGGAAGATGATGTGAACTGGCCAGAACCTGACC